TAAATTGGCCCCATAGTTTTTATCTTTTATATTTAATCTTACAATAGGAAAATTAATTCAAGAGAAATATGACATGAAGCAATTGTGAAGAGTTAGTTTTTCCTGAACCATATAATCTTCCAATCAAGATATAAACAACCTATTTGGAATTCTGAAACTTGAGAATGAGTTTAAAGAGATCTTCAGAAAATGTCTCTAATAATGCAAACGATGGGGGAACTGGTGGAAGAAGTATGGGCCCAAGATTGAGGCTTTGAATTTGTTTTGAAAAGCTATCTGTAAAATGATTTGGAAATGGTGTCTTGAAACATTTTGGCGGTAACAATTTAGAAATCTGGCTTCATATATTTTTTCTCAGATGTCTCACAGCTAAAACTAAAAGGAAAGAGGTCCTCTCACTTTCTTTTCTAATGGGACAGAACAGATAACTTCATTAAAGAAAAACTTTTTCTGGTCCTTGCATCTCCTGGATTTACCTAGCATTTAATAAGAATATGATCAGCATTAAGGAGACAGAATTGAGTGACCTTGAATTTATTTCTTTTTTCTTGAAATTGTTTGTGAAAACCAGGCAACTAAGCTTCCCTTATATTCTAAATTTAAAAAAAAATCAAACAAAAAACTGCCAGTCCTGTAGTAGAAATAGCTTACTAATGGTCTAAGAAGAAAAAAAAACCCACTTTACAATGAATGAATATTTTACTTTAGGCTTTAAATTACAAATCACTGTAGGAAAAGAATGTATAAAAGAAATTCTTACAATATTCTTAAAAAGAAAATATGACTAGAAGACATTCCGTAACCATGTTGGGTAAGTTCTAAGAAGTTTGTTTACCAATTTCTTCGTGTGCAAAAAAAGAAATTTCCCTAACTTTCTTTGAACCACATGAAACACAAAATAGCTTTTAAAAAAACAACATAAAAGTGTAATGAGACTCTTCCATAGAGATTTGGGGTTTTAAATTATGTCAGGGGAAAGTAATGCATTTTCTATTGATATATTCACTCCCTCCAATACAGATTTCTTTTTAAGTTTTAAAATGACTGGTTATTAAAATGGTGCATATTTCTCAAGTTTTCTCAATGTGAAATATTGAAATAAATCACATTATATTTCTTTATTAATCTCAATTTCAGACAAAATGTAGAAAAACATTAGAGCCTTGATGCCCATCTTCATGCAATTCTTGAGATCATGATTATAATATGTGACTATCAGAGTGGAAATAAGAACTTGTGAAAGAATGTCGGTCTCTTGGGCTCTATCAAAGGGACCAGAGATAACCAATCTCTGGTCTTCTTAATTCCTTTTCATCAGCCTCTGCAAGTATTGGGCTGCTGATCTATGAGCTGAGGCTAAAGCAGGTGCCTTCACTGGCTTCCTGTGTGTGACAATATTGACCCCAGAAAGACCTAGCAGGCTTCCTTCCTATTTGGGTCATAATATTTGGGATTTTAAAAAAAAATTATTTTAAAGATGTGGGTTACAATTCAGGGTTATGCATACAGATATTCATTATGCAGGTTCCCTTGTTGATGAGGTGTGCTCCCCTACCCCAGCAGATTCCCACTACTGCCAATCCTTTTCTTATAGTATTACGATAATTGTTCAAGGTCCACTTATAAGTGAGAACTTGTGATACTCAATTCTGTGATAGATCACTCAGTATTATAGACTTAAAGGTACTCTGCCCTGGGACCTTTGAGAAATTTTCTATTGTCCTAGAATATGGCCCTGCAGACGGTATTTTCTCCATCCTTCAGCAGATATATTTCAAGGTCTTAGAGTTAAATCCTGTCCTAAAGAATTTTCTGATGCAGTGACAGAAAAATCTGCCCCACGAACAACTTCATAAGCTCATTTTTACTTATAGGAAGGACGTGTTTCTTCTATTTTAGAACCTCCATTGTCTCCCCCCTCATAAACAAAGTTCTTGCAGGCTTCAAAGTTATGCAAACAAGAAATGTATGGCAAGGGATTTTTTTAAAAAAGTTTATCACAAAAATGTACATATTACTCATGGGAGTGTGTGCATGTTTTGAATAAAATTCTGCTCTGAGCTTTTCAACTCTAACTGTATACAGAGTATTCTATTTCTCCCTTAAAGTGACATACCATTAACTGAGTTTCAAGTAAGTATCTTCATGAAGAGCACTATTAATTTAAAATATATTTCCTTTTGATCCAGTACTGCTGGGTATCTTTTCTCTCTGGACTAGTACAGTAACAAAATTTCTTTTCTAAATTCTTAGATTTTGCTTAACACAACATATTTATAGTGAAAGACCTGTCCTGTGGCATTATCCTCTTTCATTAAAAAAATTACATTTTTCAATGTTCTTATTTTCCCTGTCCATTCTTCATGATCAGGCCAGTACACAAAGGTGTACTCCTGATGTGAAAAGTGTGTGTCTAACACTGAACAACCTCTAATTAAAGACTCTTTTCTTGTAATAGACATGCCTAATTTGGACTGGAATTAACTATTTAGTAAATTAGTATATCAATCAAAGTTTATACATTTTCCAAGTAAATACTATAAAATCATCTATATAAACTCAAAGGAAGGCAAAAAGAAAAGAATCCATGTAGATGGAAAAACGGCCAGGAAAGAATTTAAATGCATTTTTGGTTATGTTCAAGTTTTTAACCTGAGGAAATGGACCTGGGATGGTGCTTCATACCTGTAATCCCAGCACTCTGGGAAGCTGAGGCAGGGAGATTGCTTGAGCCCAGGAGTTCAAGACCAGCCTAGGCATCATAGTGAGACCTTGTCTCCGAAAAAATAAAAAAATAAGCTGGGCGTGGTGGCATGCTCCTATAATTCCAGCTACTTGGGAAGCTGAAGTGGAAGGATCAAGGATCGCCTGAACCCAGGAGGTTGAGGCTGCAATGAGCTATGATTGTGCCACTGCACTCCAGCCTGGGCCACAAAGTAAGACCTTGACTCAAAAAGAAAAAAGAAAAAAAAAAGAGAGAGAGAGAGAGAGAAAATGAAGAAATTAACTTACAGTTTTGGATAATACCCTGTAAGAACCCATATTCTAATGACTTTCCATCTTCCTGGAGCTGTGAATCCTCTTGATTCTTATTTTATTTTGTGACTTCCACTTTCTCCAAACCCCCAATAAAGCAATACTAGACTCTGCCACAAATGATGATTTTTTAAAAGAATATAACTAATCTTTAGAGATTTTAAAAAAGATGCTTTACCACATATCTCAAGACAATTTAGATCCCTGGGTGTCTTTCAAAATTTGGGCATTACTGTGTTGCTCTAGCACACTGGCCCACCTTCCCATGTGCACACAGACACAATCTCTCAAACGAAAGAGACAACGGAATAAAAAATAGCCTGGGGAGATCATCTGCTTATTAAAATGGAGGAAGGAAGGATCATTCACAGAAGGTGGTGAACAGATTCTCTCTCTTTTTGTCTTTTGGGGCTAACTGAAGACGGATCAGTTTAAAACTTTAGTTCATAAAGATTTCCTTTAGATGTAAGGATTATGCAAACCTTTTCCAAAGGGAATTATGGGGACCTTGTTTTTGGAATTTGAGTTGGGATGCTTTCTGGAAGCAAAACTAGTTCCTCCTCGTCAACCTCCCACTGGCCCCCCCATGCCTGTGCCTTGCTGGAACTCCTAGATCCAGGATCCTATTGCCTAAATTACCGTCAAGTAAGAACTGTTTTGCAGTTAGCATGAGGGCTTATTGTCAGGGCTTGGTTTTCATTTCTGCCCTCTCCTTTTGCTCTTATTTATATACTTTAATCTCCATAGACTTCAAACTTCCTAAAATAAAACAGGACTCTAGCAGAAGTGTTGTGAAATTGTGGGAGTCTACATTTAAATACTTTGTAAGTAGGTGTGTTTTCTGGGGGAGTCGGGTAGAACTCTTTACCAGCAGTAGATTTCTTCTGCAATTGCTTTTGAGCCCTGCCACAGAATTGTGCAAAGTTGAGAAAAATCACTTCCTCTCTTGTGTGGCAGTTTTCCAGCTGCAAAATTAATTATCCACTTACTTCTGTCACGAGGTGTTATAAGGGTCAGTGAGCTTGAGTTTGTGAGACACTTTACCAGACTGCTCTGAAAGTTGTTCTGCCACTTTCTTTTTTCTTGTTTGTTTTTTTTTTTTAAAGTTATCTTACTCTCCAGCATTGTTTACAAAACTGAACTTTTAAGAACATGTTTGCATTTCAGGCCTGTCTTTCCTTTTAATACTTTGTATACATGAAATGTTAGTTTAGAGAAGAAATCAAAAGGTAATAGAGACAGTTATTTGGAGAATCGTTTATCTGTCATTCATTCACTGTTTTAGGTGTCAGGATATAAAAACTGAGGTTGCTCCTCTCAGAGTTCTCACCAGTCAAAGGAGTTCAGTAGGTGACTGAACTAATGAATGTACAGTAAAAGACAAGGAAACTTCAGGGAGGGAATGATGGCCAAGATAAGGAGAGGTGCTTTCTTGAGAGAGAACATATCAAAAAAGATGAGGTCTCAAATTATATGAAAAAGGAAGCTTGATTTTGCTTAAATTAACTTAATATATATATGTATTAGTGAATGACTTTAAAAATCATATGTGAAACTTCTAGATGGAATGTATGCTTAGCCATTTTTTCTATATAAACAGATAAAATTTTTCTCTTTCTGTCTCTTCTTTCCCCTTCTTTGAAATTCTAGTCTGATTTTATCTCTGGGCACAGGGTGTAATCCCCTTCTCTCTCCCCGCCTCTCTCTATTCCTCTCCTTCCTTCTTTTTCTTTTTCCTCTCTTCTCCCTCCCCTTTCCTTTTTCTGAAACTGCAGTCAGATGTTATCGTTGGGCATGATGTAATATCTCTGCCACTTTGAATTGAGGTCACAGTCTTCTGGACAGCTCTTTAAGAGATTTCCAGAGACCTAAACTTTGGACTGTCGAGTTGTTCTTTCAGCTACAGGCTCCAATCTGCTCCTCTCTGCATTTTAATTTCTTCGCAATCTGCCTGTGTATTTTAGGTAATGGGACTCCTGACCAACCACGGTGGGGTACCACATCAGCCCCAGACCGATTATGCGCTCTCCCCTCTTACTGGGGGCCTGGAACCTACCACCACGGTGTCGGCAAGCTGCAGTCAGAGACTAGACCATATGAAGAGCCTGGACAGTCTGCCGACGTCTCAATCCTACTGTCCACCCACCTACAGCACCACGGGCTACAGTATGGACCCTGTCACAGGCTACCAATATGGGCAATATGGACAAAGTAAGCCTTGGACTTTTTAGGGGGCGATTACTCCTGGAAGGAGTTAAACCGAACTCTTGCTTAAGAAAAGGAAGTTAGAGGCATGATTAAGCCTCATATCCTAGTATCAATTTTGCGGCAAAGCCAGCTGATTGTTCCAGCAAGGGCTCCCTTGTATAATTATTTTCTTAACTGATGTCAACAACATCTTGCGGTTATTAATTGTTGAGATGTGAAAGCTGATTGCCACTAGGTAAAACACAAGGGTTGGCCAAAATGAAATAATCCCTAGCATTAGAAACACATGTTCTTAATGAGGTCAGCTCAAGGATCATATGGAGTGTAATCCCAGGGACACAGAGTTGTGTCAAACTTGTCTCAGGAATAAAAATATTAGTCTGAAGCCTTTGATACCATGGTATTAAATATGACATTGTCAGCCTGTAGCTGTTATTGCCCCTTACTGTGAATTGTCCCAGCATGACCTAAAAAGCTGCGTGTGTTTCCTTACAGGTGCCTTTCATTATCTCAAGCCAGATATCGCATAAGTGAACTGTCCACTTGGAGCTAAAACTGGTCCTGTTTCTGGTCTTCACAGCCTAGACATGAAGAATCTTCTCAGAAAAAAAAAAAACCCTTTTGGGGTGGGGGGTTCCTGACAAGAGACAAAGGAGGGTGATTGATTTTCTTTCTCCAATAATTTGTTTCCAATTCTTTTGAACATGTTGGACAAAAGCAGTGAAGACGAAGATCTGGAGGGATAAAAGACAAATGCAACGTTTTAAAGCAATGGCTTGACACGGCTATAAATCAAAATATCCCAACTTCTTAGTGCTGATGATCAAGGAGCTAAAACATTCCATTTTTGTGTGTATGTGTGTATCTGAGATTTACCTGGACTGGTTTGGGCTAGCAGAATCTTCTAAAATACAGTAGCAGAAAACTCTGAAATATAACATGTTTGATGTGTAATGTTGACACTTCTACAACTTTAAAAGTGCTCACTTCATGGAGCAAGAATGGAGGAATCCTTGACTTTTACACACTGGAAATTGATATAAAAATAAATGCCACCATTTTTAGGAAGGTAGACTAGATGTGAAGGACCTCCCAAATAAATTATTTGTTATGATATCCTCATCTGTAATCTAGTTGTCAATAAATGTCCTGGACACATCTTGCTAACAGGATATGGGCTAACAGGAAGAAACGCTTGTTTTCTTTTCTGGTGTGGGGAGAGGAGTGTGACATTTTCCCAGTTCATAATCATTTGGAAGCCCACCTGGGTTGGGGGAAGGACGTGGTAGAGAGAAAGTGACATACATTCACATATCTGCTTATCAGTGTGCAATACTGTGTACCTCATGGATGCATTGGCAATGGCCAAGGCGACATAAACAAAGTCAAAACTATATTTTTGCAGGTGCTTTTATTTACGCAGCCCATAATTCATCATGGTAGAGTGCAGTGATGTCTGCCATTTGCTGGACAACCAATCCTCGGCTTGCTCTTTTGATTAGTGAACCTGTCTGAGAATAATGCTTTTAAAAATGATGACGTTTACATTCTTCTCTTTTCTATGAAAGGCAGGGCAAGAACAGAAATGTTCATGTGGCTCTCGTGTACTTTTAAATTATACAATGATATCCAATATTAAAAGATTATAGGAACTGAGGTTTACATACGTTTGTGTGGTGACATTTTAGAATGTCAATAAATTTGTTTTTTGAAATGTTAAGAGGAACAAGAAGGTGGAAGGCAGTGTTATTTATTTCTTTCTATTCTTGGAACCATGAATGGGGTAGGCACAAATACATTCCTTTTAGCATTAAGAGCTATGATGTAGTGCATTAGTGAAACTAGACATAGTACCAAGTTTAGTTCATACATTGGTCTTAGAGGGGATGGAACAAGAGAAGTGCTATCTTTGTGTTGCAGCCTCAACCAACAACAATGTGTTGTAAAAATGTCTTTCATGTAAAAAGTGCAGTAAATATTTACTATTTATAATGAATAAACAGTTATGAAAACTTGCCCAACACTGCTTTTTTGGGGGAACTGGTGAATGTAGTATAAATAAAAACTTGGCAACGGGGAGCCCAACACGACACACATACTTCACTTCTAACGGCACTGTTTAGATTAGAATACACTGTGGACAAATATGGCTGTGCAACCCGCAATGGCATTCTCTTGGGAAAGTTTGGTTGAAAACACTTTTAAGGATTGAAGTTATATTTACATAGACACAGAATCTAGAAAAATTCTCCAGTCTACCTTCATTTTTCTCTCTTTTCTTCTCTTAGAGCTATCAAGTCACTTCACTGTCACTTAGAAATATATTTTTCCCAGAGTTCCAGGCTCTATCTTCATCTTCAACAGTCATCTCCACTGAAGTTTTTATTTAAAGCTCTCATATTTTATTTATTTTATTTTAGCAGCTTACTTTACTCTTCATGAAAAAATATTACTGCCCATTCCATTATCGTGCAGCTTTCATTTCTCCATTCTTCTTCCTTCCCTCTCTCCCTGTCTCCTTCTCTCCCTCTTTTTCTTCTTCCCTCACATATCTCATCAGAGTCTACATGTGCCAGGCAGGGCACTTGGCACAGTGCTGTAGCAGTGCTTATACTCTGGTGGAGAGAGCAGAGAAGCAAATGCATCATTTCAAGAAAGTGTGAGGACTGTTATTTTAGGGGAAATGATCGGGGGATTGCCCTTTAAACCCTTACTTGTATTAACTTATTGATTCCTCCAACATTTCATATGTGACAGGTGATGTCATTAGCGTTTCACTTCTACAGATTGAGGAAACTGAGACCCAAGAAGCTTCCATGAGAGCACCTAGCGGGCAGAGCTGGCTTTGAATCCAGGCAGTCCTATTCTAGAACGTAGGTGCTTAAACTCATGCTCTTTTGCTTCCTCAAGTCTAGTCTGGGGTGAGAGAACCTTACAGCCAGGAAGATCTGAAGGGGTGTTGTCCAATTCAGAAGTCATGTATGCCTATTTAAATGCAAAGCAATTAAATACAATTACAAAGTTAGTTTCTCAGTTGTGCTCGCCACATTTCAAGTGTGCAACAACCACATTTGGGCAGCATTGCTGTAGCACAGTCCCATCATCAAAGAAAATCCTATTGGTCAACTGATGTAAGGCATGTGAGTGCATCTTTTAGTAATCCCAAAGACTTGAAGGACAGTGGGTAATAATTTCCAAATTTTAAACATGTCTTAGTTTTTTCTTTTAGCTTACACACTTGTCCTTCTGATCAAATACATTGCTCTTTTCCTAACAATTATGTATTCTAAAATAATGTAAGAAGAGGAAAGAAAAATAATTTTTACTGAACACTTACTTTTGTTATCCTGTTTAATTCTCACAAAACCCTGTGAAGTGGGCTTTATTAGATCCAATTTATAGATGAATGGACTGAGACCCAGAGTTGTTAAGCATTTGGACAAAGGTCATATGTAGCCAGATATAGCAGAAGCAGGCTTTGACTTCTACTCAGCCTGATGGCAAAATCTGTATTATTATGCCTCTCTAAATGCCGATTTGCAGTACCCACTTCATTATGTCAACTATCTATCCTCATGGCAAATTCAAGTTGAAAATGAACATTAAAAAAAAGTCATTCACTCCCAATACATAGGAGAAATGCCACCAGGATTCCGATTACACAACAGAAACTGACCTTACACAATCACTTTCTTTTCTGTTTCCTGATCCTAGAACTTCCTAAGGCTAATATCTTTCATATATATATTTAAAATTTCCTTTTTTTATTTCTGCATATCTCTGAAATCTATTGCTCTAATAGTATTTCTCAAGTTAAAAAGTCTCTGTGGATAGCTTTTTCCCTCCTGATTCATTAAAGAAAAATCTAATCAATCTCTGGGGAAATGGAAATCTCTCACTTCTTCCAGTTGGGGATCCCTACACTCACTCATTGGGACAAGTAGCCAGAAGGACTTTGAACCTTTGACATTCAACAGAACTTGAACTTGATTATGTGTGGAGGGTTCTGCCTTGTTCTTACAGTTATTTGATTTCACTTGAAAAATAAAAAGTGAAAATTGAAAATCAGAATCAGCATTATTAAATTGTGGATGTACTATTGTCAGCCGCTAAGCCATTCCTTGGCAGGAATTTTTCTAGGAATAGGTATCATGTTTCACATCTGTGGAGGAAGCAAATATACTGTTTGATGCCTTTAATTTAGCCCAAACTGGAAATTATTTTCATACACACTTGGATATCTGGGAAACATTCTAGATTAGAAGGGAATCTTCATTAGTGTTGGCATACAGAACCAGAGTAAGAGACAAGATCACTGACTTGTAGCTGTGAGTTTGGGAAGTCTTTGTTTGTTTTTTACTCTGTCACCCATGCTGGAGTGCTGTAGCCTCGACCTGCTGGGCTCAGGCAATCCTTCTGTCTCAGCCTTCTAAGTAACTGGAACTACAGGCATGTGCCATCACACCCAGCTAAATTTTCTTGATTTATTGTAAAGATGAGGACTCGCCAAGTTGCCCAAGCTAGTCTCAAACCCCTGGGCTCAGGCAATCCTCTCGCTTCGGCCTCCCAAAGTGCTGGGATTATAGGCATGAGCCACTGTACTGGCCTAGGAAGTCTTAAGTGGAGGAAGGAATGGATTAATTAGTGCCTTTTGTCTCAACATGGCATGGAAGAATCTATCCTCAAACTACACAGGGCACCAGAACTGAAGCATCTACAAGAAATAAATCAATTTTGGAGATCAAGACTTGAGCCTTAATCATTCTGAGTGAATGATCTTTGATGTTTACTCATCTTTGGATAAAGAGAGCTGATGTCAAACATGGGATAGCACAATTAGTGATGAGTGTCAGTATTTGTGCAAAAAGAGTCACATGGGCAACCTCAGCTTTAGATACGTTGTTATGGATCTGGAAGTAAGTGGTAGGTGATATGTGAGCGAAAAGGAAGAAAAAAGAACTGGGAACAGGGCTTCTGGCCAGATGTCAGTGACATAAGCTAGTTTGACCTTTTTCATAGATACCCCTATGGTATTGCTGACCAGTTCATCCCAAGCGCCTAGCGCCATGTCTGACCCATAACATGCCTGTTGAATAAATGAAAAAATAAATACATGATGAGTGACTTTCTAACTGTCTCCACATGATCTTCTAAACAAGGAGACGTTTGGCATATGCAGGATCACAGGTGCTCAGATTTTCTTGAGGTGAGATTGGCACATAGCCTTCGGGAGGAAAAGGGAAGTAGGAAGTAGGAGCCCTAAGTCACTTAAAAGTCATATTTCTGGCGTTTTTGACTGATGCAGAGGGTACAAGGTGGCTATTTGTAGAATTCACCACTAGGAGGAATAGAACAGAAAAGGGATATAACCAGTGGGTTTATTGCTTAGAAAAGTGGCTCTTAGACTTGACTGTATGGTAATATGCAGAATGAGGAGGAGGAGGAGGAGGAGGAGGAGGAGATGGAGAAGATGGAGAAGATGGAGAAGAAGGAGAAGGAGAAGAAGGAGAAGAACCACCATTGGAACCAGTGCTTGGGCCCACCCGGATCACTGGACTCAGAATTCACAGAGATGGTTTCCAGGAAAGCTGGCAAAACAAGAGTTTAGGAAGAACCTTTAGCTGCATTGAAGCCTTGGTCATTCCTGACCAGGTAAGTTTTTTGGGACTTGAAGCAGTGGTCAGAGCTGTTCACCACAAAACATCTGAGAAAGGGAAGTCACTTTGGAATACCAAAACTCCTCAGCTTTATCTTCTCCCAAATCCACCCACCATTTCTTAAGCCAGAGGGCGAGATGTGGAAAGGAAATAGTTCCCATGATGGTAGAGGAAGAAAATGATGGAACTAGAAGGATGAGCTGTGGCACAGCTTTGTGTTATGACCCCATCATTTTTCCACTGGAGGCTCACAAAGTTCCACTTTGCAAAAATGAGTCGTGGTTGAGCTTTTTCCCAGGAGGTGATATTTTGTTCCCCAGGCTCTTGTGAGCCTATGGCATTTGGGAGAATTGAAAGCATGGAGTTGGAGCTGAAAAACTCAACTGCCTTTCTACCCGGCTTGCCCAGCTCCCCCACACCATGCCACTAAGTGTTCATATAGCTCCTGAAGCTCAAAATTAACCACCATGAATGTTGACTCTTTCCACTACTTGAAGAATGAGAGAGACAAAATGATTTTTTGTTTCCTAATTAATTAACGTGTTGGATACTTACTGAGTTCCTCTTGTAAGCTTGATCATGGAGCCGTAATGGTAAATAAGATAGTTCTCATTGTCAAAAGACCCCCGGGCAGAGGAATGAGGTTCATCAGTCAACAAAGAGTTGGAGTGTAAGTAATATGTCAGCAGAAGTTAGTATGGGAACTGAAGGAAAGGGCATAACTCTGCCCTGCATTGGAACACTTCTCAGAGGAAGTGATCTCGAAAGATGAGTAAAAATTCACTGGGCAGATGCAGTAGCAAAGAGCATGCCAATTCCTTTTTATATGATGTCAGCTGCTGGGTTGGGTGAGAAGAAGCCAGGGAAGTCAAACAATGAGTAGTTCCCCCCAGATTCTCTAGTAAGAAGGATCCATAGCCAGAGCATTTGGGGAACTCCCTAGTTGGTAGATTTCAGAGGATCTGAGTTGAGGGCAATTCTTTCTTTTCTAAAAATGGTTTGAGAATGTCTCTATCTCAAGAGCCAGTGAAGAATCTCATGGGCGAAGGAAATATATGTCTGGTATCATCAGCTTTCTAAACTGACCCCCAAAGCTTGGTGGGGGTGTAATGCCAGCTCTTAGTGTCCCTGCTGCTTTTTCATCAGTGGAGGACTCTGCTGGAAGTCTGGAAGCTGCTCCACGCTTGCACTTGGTATCTACCTGGAAAGCTGCAATGCCCTTCCTTACCTCTACCCATCATTCCAGGCTGACTGGAATGATCCATTTTTACTAATTATCCAATTGTGTGTAGTTGAGTGTTCTACTGAGGATGGATCCCAGGATCTCTTTGCTCAATTTTATGGGTAAAAAATGAGAA